TGGTTGTTTATGATGCTGGGTGGAGTTTGAATCATGTTATAGGAAATGTGAAGGAGAAGGTGTTTATGGGGCTCTGAAACATGGACAGTTGTCTGTGAACACCTATGGGTACTGGAGATGGAGATGGGATATTAGGGAGGATGAGGAATATATCAAAGACTGTTTGATATTTTGGAGCATGATTTTTTTAAAGATTTTATTTATTTATTTGACAGAGAGGGAGCGAGAGAGTGAGTGTGCATGCACAAGCAGGGAGAGTGGTAGAGGGAGGGTAAGAAGCAGACTCCACGCTGAGCAGGGAGCACTACATGGGGCTTGATCCCAGGACCCTGGGATCATGACCTGAGCAGAAAGCACATGTTTAACTGACTGAGCCACGCAGGTGCCCATGGAGGATGATTTTATATTAAGAGGTGATATATGAAAAAAAAATTAAGCTGAGAGAAAAGAAGAAAGAACAAAAAGAAAGAGATTGGTGAGGGGAATACTCACAATTTTTAACTTCCAATATGGCAGAAGAACTGACCCAAAAGATCTGATACTCAACCAAAACAAACACTGGCTATAAAAGTTGGTGCTGGGATACAGCACTCATGGTTGAATGTTAGAGTTGAGATGAGAACATCCAGGGAGGGTGAAGAAAAGATTCTAGCTGTTTTTGCAGTTTAAGAAACTAATACATTCAGGTTTTCTTTATATTGTCTGCTGATCCACTAAATGCTTTAGCCATGGTTATAGGGATGATCTCCTTTTCATACTATTTTTTCACATGTCATCAAAGGCTAAGGAGCATTTGTAATTAGGTATTTCAGCATATCTGTTCTACAGGGTCTACCAGGTAATTAGGAAATAATTGATTCAATATCATACCTGACTCTTTTAATTGAAAACATTCAAATTTCAGACTTAGAGTTGTCAAAAGGTTTTCCAGATGAAAAACCTAAGCACTGGATATGTAGAGACACAAGTCAGGTGTCTTATCACTATGTTTCATAATAAAAAGCTCACCTGGGAAGGTTTTATAAAATTTTTTTGTAAGATTTTATTTATTCCTTTGAGAGAGAAAGATACAGAGAGAGAGAGCATGAGCAGGGGGAGAGGAAGAGGGAAGGGAGAAGCTGACTCCCTGCTGAGATGGAGTCTGATGTGGGAGCCCCACTTGGGGCTCAGTCCCAGGACCTGGAGATCATGACCTGAGCTGAAGGCAGATGCTTAATCATATGAGTCACCCAGGTGCCCCTCACCTGAGAAGTTTTTAGATTAAATATGAAAAAATGAACAAGTCACACTGTCCAGCAGAAATGACACTTTGGAATCCCCAGTTACTCCTCTAATGTCAATGGCACACGACCTTGGCACTTATCTCTCAAGAAAAATTTAGGTAGTCTTCTTAGCCCTACCTAAATACTTTCATAGGGAATGTGAATGTCTCATTCATTTTCATTTTTCCTGACTCTCTGGAATCCCTCAGTAAGATGCTGGGACAGAGAGAATTATGGGAACAACAACAAAGTCATAGATCTCTTAGCTGTTTGCAGTCTCCTCTGGATATACTTTGATCCTGGATCCCTAGAGAGTAAGTGTTGGAAAGAATTTTATGTTTTGGTTTTACTTCTTTATTTCTCAGATCAAGAGGCTGAAGTCCAGAAGGGTACCAGAATCACAGACTTACTAATGGCAAGACAAGAATTTTCCTCTCATTTCCTCAGGAATCACGACATTGTACTTCCACTACTCTGCACTGCTGACTATTACATTTCATCTTGTGTTGGGTTACGGGTCATAGTGTGGGCCCAGGGTGGAGAAGGAAAGCTGCTGACAAAACATCTTCAGAAACACAAGACAGTGCATCTCTGTCTATGTGTTTATATGGTGGTCACAGTCACTTTTGCTCCAAGATCTCTTTGTGGCTTTCTTGCTGTCATTCTAAAGTCCTTGGGAAATGTGCTCTGAACATTTCTAAAGAAACTGAGAATGAGCCCACTGATTTTATCATTGGCAACAGGCTATAGAGACATAAACATCAGAACAATAGTCATGCAACATCATTTACTTTCAGATAAATAAGTACCCAAGCAAGAAAGCCTTTCTTTGAATCTAATGTAGACTACACTTAGGCTCATGCTATCTATTTTTTCCTTTTTTGCCTTGTGCCTACATTGTTTCCTCTATTTTTAAAATGAAGCAAGCATTATTTTCCTTCTATATTTTTAATTTTGTATTCCAGAAAAAAAATCTATACAGAAAAGCAAACATAAATGTACAACTTAATGAATCATTGTAAAACATTACTAACTTGCTCCCATAATCACCACAGCTCAAGAAATGAAACATTGTCAGCACTCAGAAGGCTTTCCATCCCTGTGTTTTTCTTTCTGATTCCAACACTTCCTTCCCTTCATACCAGATCGTTAGGCTGCATTTTGTGATATCTGTTTAGGTTACATATTGCTTCTATTCTTTGAGTCATTATGTAAGAGATAATGTGCATGCTTCACGTATTGAAGTTTTTCTTAATATATATATATCCTTTACTCTTTTTCACTTTACTTTTTACTGTTAATGTTGAGACATCACTTGTTAGTCTAATAGCTCCTTCTCTGAAGGTAATCAGTCTCTTTTCTATGGCTTTTTAAAGTCTTTTTTCTATGGACTTTCATTATGATTTGTCCAGACATGCATATTTAAAAAATTTGCTTGTGATTTGTTGGGATTCTTAAATCTGGATGAGGACTGCATTTCGAATAATTTTCCAACCTAATTTTCTAGTTCACCAATTCTCTCTTTAGCTCTAATATTCTTTGAACCTATCCTAATCATAGTTACTGTTTTTTTGCCAGTTCTACTTGATTCTTTTTTAAAATTAGTTGTTTTTTTTTTTTTTTTTTTAGTTTCCTGTGCTTTGCAGATATTATTATAAGTTTCTCTTTTATTGCCTTAAATGTAGTAAGCTCAATTGTTTATTTTGGGTATCTTATAATTCAAATATATGATTTTGGGGGGTTTGTTTCTGTAGTCTCTTGTTTCTATTGTTTTGTTTCCTTGCATGTCATTGTTTTTAAATATTATTTGCAGATAGGAATTGAGGCCTAGGATGCAAATCTCTTCTTCCTGGAATAGTTGCATTTTTACTCTCAAAAGCCTAAGGGTAATAATTATCCAAATTATCTTAAACAAAATTCAAGGATTTAGGTTTTCTGGACTATTGAAGCGATTTGAAGATGAGCTATAATCTGCATAAGAGCTGGGTTTCTTCTGGCTTAACTGTATTCCAGGACGGGAACCCTTTGAGACCCCAATTTATTGAGGAGAGGCTCTTTAGATTTCTTGCTTTGCAGACTCTAGGAGTTGAGACATACAAACAAAAGCTTGAACTTGGCAGAACAGCAAAAGCTCTCAGAATAAAAGCAACTTCTGAGCTCTGCTCTCCTCTCTGGAGTCTGGTTCTCCTCTTTGTGAAAACTTGTTAAGCCTTTTATTAAAATAAAATATTTATTTATTTGATAGAGTACAAGCAGGGAGAGTGGCAAGCAGAGGGATAGAAAGGGGTAGAAGCAGGCTCCCTGCCAAGCAGGGTGCCTGATGTGGGGCTCTATCCCAGGACCCTGGGATCATGACCTGAGCTGAAGGCAGATGTCCAATTGACTGAGCCACCCAGGCACCCCTAGCTTTTTGATAATATTTTTAGACCTTTATGTTCAGCATTTTTGGTTGTTTTGGTGTAGGAATTTGTTTGGATCTGGACTGAAAAACTAGAACATTTGTACATATTTTCACAATCAAAAAACTAGAACATTTGTACATATTTTCACAATCAAATCCCCAAGCAGAAACTCTATTTCCCTTGTAATATGAGAGCCATAAGTTAAAGACTATAGATGTTAAGGAAAATAACTGTGCTAAATCTTTTTTTTTAAAGATTTTATTTATTTGTTTGACAGAGAGAAAGAGATCACAATTAGGGAGAGAGGCAGGCAGAGAGGCAGGCAGGCTCCCTGCTGAGCAGAGATCCTGATACAGGGCTCAATCCCAGGGCAGTGGGATTATGACCTGGGCCGAAGGCAGAGGCTTAACTCACTGAGCCACCCAGGAGCCCCTAACTGTGCTAGGTCTTAAATAAAATCAAGGCAACTAGTGCAAGCAGAGTTGTGGCAAATGAATCCACCTGCCTAATGCTAGTCCTCTCACAAATGGGAGTTCTTTCAGAAAGCAGTGTGGCAATACATAGTGTTATAATCATGTTTAAGCATTTTGGTGATGTGTCATAAAAGCAAAATGCTAAAAATAACTATACTATTCAATCTTAGTAGAACACTTTAACAACTTATGTATTAATACTATGTCCTAATATGTAGTCATTAAAAAGGATACTTGTGACAACTATATAAAAAATGGGACATTTATGATATACCATTAAATGACAATAGCAGGACACAAAGTAATATGTTTGTTGTATATATCTGGAAGGTAAAGAGCAAATACCCATAAATAGCATTCCTATTTCACTGTAGGGCTGGGCAACTTTTTTTCCTTAAACATTCATTACACTTGTTATATATTCTTTTTAGGAATAAAGGCAGAGAATTCAAAACATAAACAAGAAACTGTCATGCTAATAATTTTCCCACATTTATTTGAACAGTACTCCACTGATAGCATTAATTAGGATGGTTTACTATATATTTATTTGTTTACCATCTGTCTCCAATATGAAAGGGCAGGCACCATATCTGTCTGATTATACTATGTAAATATATTATTTAATATATTACATATTATATATTCATATATAACAAAAAATTTTCTGTTTAGGTTTTTTTTCCCCCCCAAGGGCACAGTTTTTTCTTTGCCATGTTCTTTTGGTTTTAAAATTCTTTTGTTTTGATTCAATAGAGGGGACTGTATGAAAAGAAGACATTACTTCTGTGTTCAAGTATAATTATTAGAGTAACATCTTCATTAAATGTCACTTTTGCTTTGTTTTCTTCTTTTTTATTCAGGAGAAATCAAGGATTCTGCCAAGTCTGAGATGTTTACGTTTCGCGATGGAGGTGTACAAATTCTTTGCAAATTCAGTGATACTGTCTGGCAATTTAAAATGGAGTTGCGGAAAGGGACGGAAGTGCTCTGTGATCTCACTAAGACAAAGGAAAGTGGAAACACAGTGCCCACTAAGCATCCAAAATTTTGTCAGTCTGAGTTATCGGATGATGGTGTCTCCTTTTTTCTGAATAACTTGGACAGTTCTCATGCCAGTTACTATACCTGCCAACTGTCAATTTTTGATCCTCCTCCTTTTCAGGAAAAGAACATTAGCAGAGAATATTTGAATGTTTATGGTAAGACGATGTTTTTCTTTCAGACTCAAGAGTACATTTGCATTTTTAACAACTTTTCTCAAGAATGTAAACATGCAAATAAGTATCTTTGTGAGTTCATTTTATTGCAATTGATGGCAGTCATTTATTATGAAAATATGCAAGGGATAACTTAATAATAATTAGTATTAATCAGTAATATGCAATTTGGTCATGTAGACTGCTATGTTAGAAATAGATCATGTTGTCTTTAAATTGCATATGCCATTAGAAATCAGGAAAAAAATTAAGACAAATTACCTAAATCCATGGCTTCATGGTCATTGCCTCTATTCACATAAAGTTTAGGTTTTGGTTTGTGGAGTGAAATAATTGAAAACAATAGTTTTTTTAATTGAAGATTTTACTTATTTATTTGCCAGAGAGAGTGCATGGGAGAGAGAGATAGGGAGAGAACAAGAGGACAAGCAGGGAGAGCAGCAGGCAGAGGGAGAAGCAGGCTCTCTGCTGAGCAAGGAACTCGATGGGGGACTCGATCCCAGGACTGTGGGATCATGACCTGAGCTGAAAGCAGACACTTAACCAACTGAGCCACCCAGGCATCCCTGAAAATAATAGTTTTATACCATTGCTGTTCCTACTTACTTTTCTGCAAAAATATAGACCAAAAAAGTCCTTTCTATTAACCCATTATAATAACCCATTATAAACCCATTTATAAACATATATGTGCATAGAGTCTTTTAGGTTTTAGCTTTTAAATTCTTGCTATGGTACTGAGAGGATGTTATTTACAATTTATTGGATTCCATGATTGTAATGAAGCCAAGCTTCATTTGATTAAATCGCTTTTAAAAATTTGGTAAAAGAACCTGTGATTCAGGACTGAAAGAGGAGATTTGAGTCTCTCAGTTTTCCCTTAACACATCTCTTTTCCAACGCAGAATCACAGACTTGCTGCCAGCTGAAGTTCTGGTTACCCATAGGATGTGCAGCTTTTGTTGGAGTCTATATTTTTGGATGCGTATTTCTTTGTTGGCTTACAAAAAAGGTGAGCGATGTCTATTTTTTCTTGCATTTGTTTTTACTGAAGAATATCAGTAGTTATTTACTCATCAAAGCACATATTGCTCTAGCCAGAGTAATTCGATTAACAGACAGACAATTTCTTTTCCACAAGATATGCCTACTAATTAAACTACTAACTTGGCAGAAAAGCTTATTTATTTTACAGCTGCTTCAGTCTAAAAAAGGATTTGATGGCTTACAGAGGGAGCTGTTATTGTTATTATTCAAAAAAGAGAAGGGAATTGGGGCCAAGAAAACACAAAAAGGCAGGACAAAGATTGAAACATAAAAATAGATGCTTCTGATTTCTAAGAATTATTACATGCAGGCTGCATTTGATTTTAAGTTTCCAGAGCCAGGGCAAAGATGAAACCATCAGTTTTAATGTTTCCCTGAACTTGTCAATTGAACAATCAGTGAGAAAGTCTTATAAGGTTCCAGTAATAGCTGAGAAGGAAATGACCAGCTTCTTCCCATGGTAAGTTGTTAGGACTCTGTTTTTAAAGAACAGCACAGAAAAGCTAGGGAGATAACTCAACAAGGACAAAATCTCTCTGTGCTGGGGATGTTCTTTCCAGCCTTTCACAATAGAGGTTCTCAATGAAAGAAGTTAACATCATTTTCATATTACACAAGTATACTAATACCCAAGTATATCCACAGTGTGATCATTGACCAGACCATGGGTATATCTGTGCCAGAATGGAATTGGGAAAGAAAGAGAAAGAAGGAAGATAGTGAGATAGGGCCCATGATCCAAATCTACAGAGGAAGAAACAATTAAAACAAAAATGAGGAAGAAAATTGGGCAGAAGGCTCTTTATTTAAAGCCCTTTTCATATTGTTTTCCCACTTAGCCACAAGTCAGGAGCCCGAGCCATAACCTAACACTTTTGTCACATACCACTTCAACCAAGAATAAAAACAGTAAAGGAAAAAAAAAAAAAAAGACCAGGGATGGAGATAAGGAAGAGCAGATGACAAACCATGCTTCTGACTTTTCTTCCAGAAATATCGATCCAGTGTGCATGACCCTAACAGTGAATACATGTTCATGGCAGCAGTGAACACAGCCAAAAAACCTGGATTCACAGGTACCTCTCCATCCGGGGCTTTGGGCAGAGCAGTGTGTTCTTCACATTAAGTCTGGAATTTTCATTTTTTATTTTAGAGGAGGGGCCAATGTCTCTAAGGCCCAATTTTAGATTTTCCGTGAAATTCTGAATTTTCACTTTAAGTTTTTACTTTCTGCAGTACATTGAAAACAAACATTAAGTCTGTAAACCACTATTAAAAGTAAACAAGCAGAAGATTCACAAGCCACTGTTGTATCAAGGCAGTTTTCCAACTAGTATTTCAAAAACTGAGATGATTCTAAGTCTTCCTTGGTAACAAGTTAAGTCACCTGATGAACATTTACTAGGTTTTGATGAAGTGCAAATTACTGAGTTGAGGCATGGGAGATACACAAACATGTAGAGGAGTGTTTTAGGCAGAGATTTGGAAGAAAGATCTGGGCTGGTGCTCCCCAGGGCAAGGAGGAGGAGTCGGGGAGCCTAGTGTTATTCTGATGAAAAGAAAGTATAAGATCAGAAAGTCTGGATGACGGCACAAGGCCAGTTAGGTGTGACTTTGCTTTTTTCCATTCAGAGTGAGCATTGCCAATTTGAGGGTTGCTAAGCATAGAGCACCTAGAAAGTTTGAAGCATCCCTTGTGGAAAATTATAAGTCCTATGCCTTTGAGGTTGGGATGAGTTGAAGGACGTAATGAGGAAGTCCCTAAATTTTTGCCACCATTCAGTGGTGAAGGACTTGTAGAAATGTATGCAAACAGCATTTGTAATCATGGACTTAAAGCATGGGAATGGAGTTAATGCTCCTTCAGTCTAACTCTTCATTCATTGGGTGAGAGAATCAGTTATGTCCAGGGTGTTCAGTGATTTCTTTTGCTCTCTAGAGATTTCCTACCATAGCTTTGTGACTAGCAAAGAGCGTGTGTTTCATGGCTTTGCTGTTGAAAACAACTTTTCTTCTAATCTCCCTGCTGATGATAATGTGTCCATTTTAGCTCAGATCCCTGAAAGCAGACCCTGAGACAGAGACTTGAGTTTATAAGTAGTTTCTTTGGAAGGTGACCCTAGGAAAAAAGGGGTGAGAGAGCAGGGAGTATGAGATAAGCAAAGAGGAAAAGCAAATCAAGGTTGTATTACTGAGATCTCAGCTGGAGGCCACAGAACCTCTGAGAAGTGTTCAGATGTCTCCCAGAATTGTTCTTCTCAAGGATGGCAGGTGAGGCATCTATCCACTGGCTCAGGGTTGCCTGCCAGAGCATCCTGGAGCAATGCTCTATGCTTGGAACGGTGTCTCACAAGCCTTCAGAGAAAGCCCTGAGGTAGAAAGCAGAGAAATGCATGGTGGCGCTCTTGTGCCAGAATGGACAGCATGTGCCGAAGTGTCTCCCAGGCTGTGGCTGAATCAGAGGTGGGAAGTTTCACACCCCACCTACCAAGTGTAATAACTGAACATGACCAGAGTGCAAACTTCTTGAAGGTAGGAAGGGTCTCTCTGTATTGTGAAACCACCAAGCAGACACAATTTAAAGAAGAGCATGTCTCAGTTGCCAATATTTATTGTATAATAATTATATACTTAATAGCATGCTGAGTAATCCGTGGTGGGTAGAGGGAGGGGAGACTCAGGACAGTCCTCGAGTTCAGTCTGTAATGTCATTGGGAAAGCTGATGTGTTTGCAGAGAGGGTGGAATCATGTGAAAATGTCAAAAGTACTCAATTAAGCAAAGTACAGAGTTCAGATAATGTCTATTACAAGAGTCAAGAGTGGGTTGCTGAGTCTTGAAGCACACAGAAGAGTTTGGATGGCATGTGTGTGTGTACAGGAGGCAGATCGAAGGGACAAACATGTTGAGGGGAATTGGAATAGAGTGCTTTTAAAAATGTTATGCTGCATGTTGTTACAGGTACGACTCATAACTTGGAACTCTGTGGCACCCAGGCATGAACCATGCTGGTCAGCTCCCCCGTGACGTGAAGTGCAAGATTCCCACATTCCCTGGACCACGGAGAGGAACACTTGATTGGAGTACATACATCTTCTGCTGGCGTTTTGTTCAACCTGGATCAGTGACTCTATCAGTCAAAAGGGATTTTAACAGGCTGCTTCAGTACTGTTGGGTTACCAAAACACCTTCTTGCAACTAGTTTTACAGAAAGCCCAGATCACGTGTGCGCAGCAAACAGACTTCACTGGGACGGAATTCCTATCCTCATACCTGCTTCTAGCAATGCACCAGCAAGTAAAACAAACACATCTACCAATATTTTTAAGAGAGGCTGAGAGTACTAAGTCTGCAAAGCAAATGGGCAGCCGAGGGCCAGTATCTGTTTGCATTTCACTAGCAGACTACCTCTTCTTCCTGTAGGAATGAGCATTCCTTCCTAATGAGATACTGGAGGAAGATCCTTCAAAATTAGTTAGTTTATTTCTGAGGTGTTGACATACAACCATACTTTTAAAATATATTAGTGCACAGTACTCTTTTCAAACTTCTGAACCCCAGTCTCCCTCTCCAAGGTTTAGATGCCTCGTCTGCCTTCAATTTTCCTTTTTAAAATACTTCTATGCAACCACTTGACAGACATTCTGAGTAAGGATCTAGGTCTACATTTCCCCCCTCTACTTCTCAATAAAACACATATAATATATATTTAGTTGCAGCCTAATGAATATCATTTGCCTATATTCTTCTTATAAGAATATTTTTGCTCCAGAAAGACATCTTATTTTCCCAAATTCAGTAAAAATGATTTACTTTGTGGACTTATTTTGACCACAGTAGTGGTAAAAACAAACAAACAAACAAACAAACAAACAAAACCCCTACACAACAAAACATTGCCCAGAAGTAGAAGGGACTTTATTTTATGATTCTATTTTCTACCATTAGCTATGTTTTCATGGTGCTATTAATAACAAGCCAGGCTGTTTCTGCAGAGCATATTAAAATTGCAAAACAAAAACTACCAAAATCATCTTTCCCTCTCAAGCATTGTCCTGGAAAAAGAGCCAATGATTCACTCAGAGAAAGCTATAGTTCCTGGAGGTCACTTCCCAACTGTAGCCACGTTGACCCCTGGGCTTTACAGGTTGAAATGATCCTATCAGCCTGGAGCAGCCCTCCAGACATGGGAGGGAATTTCAAGGGTTGAGAGACTCCCGTGAGCCAAGGACAACCGTCTGCTCTCACCCCCAGTGGCAGAAGTCACCCTGAGGATCACGGCGAGTCCACCTGCATTTGTACTTCCGAGGTCTGGGAGGAAGCACAGATGTCTCAGGGAACATCAGCATGATTCCCTCTCCTAGGAACCATTCAGCCCGAAAAATGGCCCTGGCCCTTCAGGATAGGCTTCCTTTGAATACAATTTCGTTGGAAAGATTCCTAAATACTCATAATATGTGATTGGCTGGGTTATTTTCTCCACTTCCTGTTTGCATGCCCAATGTTTCTGAAGCAGCCAGTGTATGTGCAACGATACTTTTAACTTTAGATCAAATGGTGTTGTTTAGTAGTTTTAAAATTTGTAGGTGCCTGCTTCTAGCATACTTTAAAAGTGAGACCAGGTATGTCATTATGCACACTTATGTTGTTGTAAGCGTGTATAATGCTGGATGTGTACAGTACAGTACTGCATTTGTAATTTGAATCAAGTATGGGATTCTGTTTCCAGCTGACTTGGACAACCTGGTTGGCTCCGCAGAGGTGTTCCCAGAGTGGCCTGCAGCTTGCTGGATGAGGGGTTGGAGTGGGGAGTGGAGACATCATGTGGGGTCCACCTGGCCTGGTGGTCCAAACTGGGGATCTGAAGCATTCTCCTCCTCAGCACTGGACATTCCAAAGTGAATTATTAAAAGATACAATTTCTGTGAAATAAAGACTTGTTTTAAGAGGAGCTACTCATGAACTAGATTTTAGCAGTAGTAGGAAACTAAGGAATAAATGTTTGATATTCAGCAACTGAAACTACCTCACAGTGTTTTCTTGGGGGAACAGAAATGGTTGCCTTGCAAACTAGCCCTTGCAAACTTGACCTTCTTTACAAACTAGCGCTTGCAAACTTGACCTTCTTGAAGGTATTATACTGCTTGGAATAGTCCCTCTTTGTTTTTTCTTTTTCCTTTTTAAATATTGAAACAACCACAGACTTGTAAAAAAGCTGAAAGTGTAGCAGAAGAACTCTTCTTTTCCTCAGTGAGTTTCTGGCCTAATGCCCTATTCACCTCAGAACAGTGTGTATTTCCTAGAGAGAGGAACACCCTTGTCTCCATAACCACGATAGGACCACTCACATCAGAAAGTTAACTCTGATACATTGCTGCCTTCTCATCCTCAAGCTGTATTCAAGTTTGTATGTTGTCCTCCTAATGTCTTTGTAGTGGAAGATTACATTCAGAATCTCCCTTTGTATTTAGTCGTCATGTCTTTGTGGTGTCCTTCAGTCTGGCAGATCCTCAGTCTAGACTGGCATGGCCTTGACTTTTGAATATTGCAAGCAGTCATTTTGTAAAATGTCCCTTGATTTGGTTTAGTCTGAGGTTTCTTGATAATTAAAATCATGTTATCGATCTTTTGACAAAAATAGTTCAAGAGCGATGCCGTGTTTTTCTAGCAGCATCCTGTCAGGTGGCTCATGATCTTGATCTATTACTGATAATGTTCATTTTGACCACCTTGACTAAGTTGGTGTCTGTGAAGCTTCTCCACCGGAAAATACTCTTTTCCTCTTTATAGTTAACAAGCAGTTTGTGGGGAGGTCCTTTGAAACCTTCTAAATCGTCTGTTCCTTGTCAAATTTTCAATGTATTCATTCGTTCATTTTTATCTGTATGGTTTCCTGTTCTATGCAATGGGTAAACATTTGTTATGTAATTATCTTATTCTGATGCTCACCTTATCCCATTCCTGGCCTGCAGGAACTCTGTTTAGGAGTCCTTCTGCCACACCCCCCGACATTCTTTCCGCACTTCCTTGCTTTCTGGCAGAACAAGATACTCCCCGCTCAGTTAGTGTTTTCCCATCCCAGTGCTGGCATCAGCCATTTCTCCAAAGAGCCCTGGTTTCTTTGAGTAGCCAGTGGTTTTTAGAATCCAAGATCTAGGCATTAGTAAATGCTCATTACTATTAGGGTTTCCCTGCTCCTAGGACCTTTGGTGGACAGAACCAGGACACACACACACACACACACACACGTAAATGTGTATGAATATATGGGTGTATATATGCCAATATATGTATATATAATATTTATATATATTATTTGAGTATAGTTGACACATATTACATTAGTTTTGGGTGTAAACACAATGATTCTATAAGTCTACTTTATGCCCTGTTCAAGACAAGTGTAGCTGCAATCTGTTTCCATACATCACTATTACAAGATCACTGACTATACTCCTTATGCTATACCTTTCATGCCCATGATTTCTTCATTTCATGACTGGAAGCCTGTATCTCCCTCTCTCCTTCATCCCCTGCCCTCTGGCCACCCTCAGTTTGTTCTCTGTATTTTATCATCTGTATATTTAAATATAGATGTAACTGTGTGTGTATTTGTGTATAGACCTATATATGTATATATTATTAGAGACATGGAAGTGTGTATACATTCATACCCACACATATATATACACTTTTATTTCTGTATTTATTTCTGTATCTATCTATATATGTTGAAATACATGGGATCATACCTATACCTTTAATTCTAGTGTAACATTCCAGGGTTCACTTCAAATTTATTCCTTTCTATTCTTGGCCCTCTTAGGACAGTGAGAACCCTGACTCTTACCATATTTGCTCAGTCTCACTGTATGAATCTCCCATCTTGGTTGTAGGCTCTCCCTGACATGGTAGCTTCCTTCCTTTGCCTGGGCTCTGACTCCTCATTCCTGGTTGCCCAAGCCTAGAATGAGTCAGTTTGAGTTCTGACTCCTGGCACTGGGCTCTCCCACTTCACAGATGCCCTTCTCACCCTCCTCAGGCTCTAACATGGGGGGGGGGTTATCCCTAACTTCAGCTTGGGGCCACAGTGACTCCCTTGCACTGGGGTGGTTCACCTTATGGCCCATGTTTTACACTGGCTGGCAGAAATTATCCTTCATGTTAAGTTCTAATCGCCTACTGTGATTACTGGTTTGATGCCCTTTACTGGCATCTATTCCTTCCCTGTATCACATCCTTACATCCCCATTGGCGTTTCCTTCACTTCTCACATAAACTGCTTACTCTGGAACCTTTGTCATAGCCTCTACTTTTGGGGGAACTCCAACTCAGACATTTCCTTGTCCCTCCAGGCCTAAGGTAAACATCTAAGGCAGTGAAACAGTCTGTTATCAAATCTAGAAATAACCCTTAATACCGATTCGTGTGAATTCTTACTTTCTTGGTCTTCCAAGTGTATCCTGTGTCATTTCAGGGACATGCTCTGACCATGACTAAAAATCATAACTTCTCCCTCTGTCCCCTTAGCATAGTGCTTCTTATGACTTTTTCCATTTTTAAGAAGCTAATGGAGGTGATTAGGCATATTCAACAGGAATCTGATCTCTGCAGGTAGAGTCAGATAGAAGCCTCCAACTAACCCATGGACATCCATCACCTACCCCTCTCAATAAGAAAGGGCATTCATTGAGACAGGATTAAAAATGAATCTCAGAGGGTGCCTGGGTGGCTCTGTCGGTTAAGGGTCTGAATCTTGATTTCAGGTCAGGTCATGATGTCAGGTCATGAGATTGATTCCTGCGTCAGACCTCACACTGACCATGGAGTCTGCTTAAGATCTTAAGATTCCCTCTCCCACTGACTCTCTCAAAAAAAAAAAAATTCTCTGGCTTCACAGGGAGAGGTTTTTAGTCTTTATGGTAATGAAGACTATAATGGCATCTAAGTATGGCTCTTTGAGAAAAATACTGAATTCTACATGTGACTTCTCCTTTGTATGATTTCTCTCTACTTGTTTCTTCTGACTCAGTGGTTATAGTTCAAAATGACTACAGCTTGTCTAGAGGACATGGCATTCTTCCAACAGTATTCCAATAATTTGGAAGTCATGATGAAATGTTCTCTTGAGCTGGGCTAGGAAGAGGACTTGATTTCACTTTTTTTTTTTTAAAGATTTTATTTATTTACTTGACAGAGAGAGAGATCACAGGTAGGCAGAGAGGCAGGCAGAGAGAGAGAGAGAGAAGGAAGCAGGCTCCCTGCTGAGCAGAGAGCCCGATGCAGGACTCGATCCCAGGACCCTGAGATCATGACCTGAGATGAAGGCAGAGGCTTAACCCACTGAGCCACCCAGGCGCCCCGAGGACTTGATTTCAAAATGCAGCTGAACACCCTGTCATATCCAAAACATCAGAAAAAATACCCTAAAACCCCTAGAATAAAATCAAGATACCTCTGGGCCAACTCAGAGTTACACTGAAAGAGGTGACACTCCATCAGAAATAAATTTTAACTGAAAACATGGCTTTTCTCAGTCTTTTGAAAATATACCAAAATGGGAATGTGTTTCATTCTCAAAGCACAACAAAACTTCATTAACAAAACTTTTCCTCAAAGCTTTCCACCAAGCTTTTCCTCATTCTCAGTGCCTCTTATATATCTGCAGACAGCTCTCAAAGCAGCTCCTCCCTCCTTTTCTCCT